GGCTCAGAGATCTCTGGAATCGGGTCATCTGAACGCTGGTACTCTGAGTACAATTATTCAGGGTAGATAATTTCATCTTGAACTAAATTCATGCATTGTTGGTTATCTTGTAGTTGTGTCCTTTGTTCTGGTCCTATACAGACTAACACAGATTTCAGGGGTGTCATTAGGCCCGTCGCGTACCGGATCCCCATCCGGCGGGCTTATTGGTTTAAGTGCTGCGCCCCTGAAGCGTGATCCTTGGTCTGAAAGAGACTTCGAAATTGGGTTCATAATTCACTTGCATTCCCTTGCTTCGCCAGTGACATTACTAACTGGAAAGCTTTCCACTGTTCGCACGATATTCCACCATGAAAACCTCCACATTCTGCACAAGGGGTTCTGGTACAGACTCTCGCCGGGTGTCCCTTGGCTTGGGGTCGTTAACATATCACTCCGGTCCAACAGTTGACTTCAGGGTGTCCCCACTTCCTACACTTCTCACACAAGGCGTCCCAATTCTCTGGTCGAGCTACGCCCTGACCCGGATGCGGGTTGGGTGACTTCCAGTGTTGGTTCTCTGCGACTCGAAACACTTCTCCATCAATTCCACTATTGAGAAACTCTGAGATCGGCTTTGATGCGCCTTTTCCTATTCTACAAACACTTCGGGGTTCTGAAACTCGTGTTGAAACTCCGCGTCCTGCGTGGGTTCGGCATCGCCTTGAGTCACAAAAGCACGTCCCTGACGTCTAGTCGGTCCACGATTCTGAGACCGGCCTTGGTGAACGTTGTCGGGACGGAAATCTCTGGGCTGCTTAGGAGCCTGAGAGTCATATCCTTCTTCACGCCACACATCTTCATGGCGACGTAATGCTTGTTCCAAGTCCGTGATGCTCTGAAACCTGTGGCCTTCGAGAGCTGTCTTTAGCTGATCGTATCGAAGTTTCTTGATGAATCTTCGAATGTGAAACTCACGTAGCTTAGTAGTCGACTTGAACTTGACCTCAGCCTTGACCGCAGCTGCATTCAGACGATAGAAGAACTGCAATGGGGTCTCGTGGTCGGTCATCTTCATCGTGAAGTACCTTTCCGAGTACGAGCCTGTGGTACCGATATACAGCGTTCTGAATCTGCGTGACATTTGTTTCCAATCGTGATGTGTAGATTTGGGTAGTTGCGTAAACCAGTCCCTGATCGCTGTGGGCATCCTGCTCCTGAACTGACGAATCTTTATTGTGTCTGACCAGGATCCCTGAGATGCCATATCCGAGAATCGCTCCCACCAGTTGCCTCGATTATCCCTGTAAGCTTTCTCATCGAACTTCTCCAGGTTAGTGTAGCCAATGTAAGGTCTACAGTTCCAAATCGCTGTTCCGTCAGCTGTGGTCATCGTCGTAGTCATCCCGATGTCTTTATCCTCACTTGAAATGCCTTCAGCATCGCTAGATTTGGAGGCTCCTCCTCGACTTGCATCATTGCCACTGTCACTGGGCTCCGAGTCATCCGGATCGTCAGGAGGAGGGTCAGACCGCTCGTCCGCCTTCTTCGGCTGTGACTTCTTCGATAGCGACTTTCTGGCTCCCTCGTGCCGAGCTCATGCCTGCTTACGGGGCTCTTGTGACTGGGTTCAAACAAGCTGACCGTAAGAAGAAGAGTTTACCTGAAT